CCTTCCTGCTGTAGTTTGACAGTCTGTTTGATGCTACTCTGCCTCTGTATCTATTTTTGTTCATCAGTTTATAATGGTCTTTATTATCCATAAATGAGTGAGATCATGAGGTATTTTTCTTCCATTGACTGGCTTATTTCACTTAGCATAATGCTCTCCAGTTCCATCCATGCTGTTGCAAATGGTAAGAGTTCCTTCTTTTTTATAGCAGCATAGTATTCCATTGTGTAGATGTACCAGTTTTCTAATCCATTCATCTGCTGATGGGCACTTAGGCTGTTTCCAGATCTTAGCTATGGTAAATTGTGCTGCTATGAACATAAGGATGCATATATCCTTTCTGATTAGTGTTTCTGGTTTTTTGGGATATATTCCTAGAAGTGGGATCACTGGGTCAAATGGGAGTTCCATTTTTTACTTTTTGAGGAAACTCCATACTGTCTTCCATAGTGGCTGCACCAGTCTGCATTCCCACCAGCAGTGCACGAGTGTTCCCTTTTCTCCACATCCTCTCCAGCACTTCTCGTTGGTTGATTTGTTGATGATAGCCATTCTGACAGGTGTGAGATGATACCTCATTGTTGTTTTGAGTTGCATCTCTCGGATGATTAGTGACTTTGAGCATGTTTTCATATGTCTCTTGGCTTTCTGAATGTCCTCTTTTGAAACGTGTCTATTTAGGTCCTTTGCCCATTTTTTGATTGGATTGTTTATCTTCTTTTTTGTTAAGTTGTATGAGTTCCCTATAAATGTTGGAGATTAAACCCTTATTGGTGATAACATTGGCAAATATGTTCTCCCATGCAGTGGGCTTTCTGTTGTTTTTTGATGGTTTCTTTTGTTGTGCAGAAGTTTTTATTTTACTGTAGTCCCATTTGTTTGTTTTCTCTTTAGTTTCCAATGCCCTAGGAGCAGTATCAGTGAAGAAATTGCTTCGGCATATGTCTGAGATTTTGTTGCCTTTGGATTCCTCTAGTATTTTTATGGTTTCCTGTCTTACATTTCAGTCCTTTATCTATTTTGAGTTTATTTTTGTGCATGGTGTAAGTTGGTGGTCTAGTTTCACTTTTTGCATGTATCTGTCCAATTTTCCCAACACCATTTATTGAAGAGACTATCTTGACTCCATTGTGTGTTCTTGCCTCCTTTGTCAAATATTAATTGAGCATATTGGTTCGGGTCGATTTCTGGGTTCTCTATTCTATTTCATTGATCTACATGTCTGTTCTTGTGCCAGTACCAGGCAGTTTTGAGAACAGTGGCTTTGTAATACAGCTTGATATCTGGTATTGAGATCCCACCTACTTTGTTCTTCTTTCTCAGGATCGCTGCAGCAATTCGGTGTCTTTTTTTATTCCAGATGAATTTTTGGAGAGTTCGTTCTAGATCTGTGAATGATTGGCTAATTTCACTCAGCATAATGCTCTCCAGGTCCATTCATGCTGTTGCAAGTGGTAAGAATTTCCTTCTTTTCAGAGCAGCGTAGTATTCCATTGTGTAGATGTACCACAGTTTTCTAATCCACTCATCTGCTGATGGACACTTAGGCTGTTTCCAAATCTTAGCTATTGTAAATTGTGCTGCTATGAACATGGGGGTGCAAATATCCTTTCTGACTGGTGTTTATGTTTTCTTGGAATATATTTCTAGAAGTGGGATTACTGGGTCAAATGGAAGTTCCATTTTTAGTTTTTTGAGGAAATTCCATAGTGTTTTCCACAGTGGCTGCACCAGTCTGCATTGCCACCAGCAGTGCAAGAGGGTTTCTTTTTCTCCACATCCTCTCCAGCACTTGCCATTTGTTGTGTTGTTGATGATAGCCATTCAGACAGGTGTGAGATGGTATCTCATTATTGTTTTGATTCACACCTCTCATATGATTAGTGACATTGAGCATGTTTTCATATGTCTCTTGGCCTTTTGTATGTCCACTTTCGAAAAGTGTCTATTTAGGTCCTTTGCCCATTTTTTGATTGGATTGTTTATCTTCCTTTTGTTAACATATTTGAATTCCCTATAAATTTTGTAGAGCAGGCCCTAATCATATATAACATTGGAAAATGTGTTCTCCCACACCATGGGCTTTCTTGTTGTTTTGTTTTTTGTTTCTTTTTCTGTGCAGAAGCTTTTTGTTTTGAGGTAGTCCCATTTGTTTAGTTTTTCCTTAGTCTCCATTGCCCTAGGACAGTGATGGCGAACCTTTTGAGCTCGGCGTGTCAGCATTTTGAAAAACCCTAACTTAACTCTGGTGCCATGTCACATATAGAAATTTTTTGCTATTTGCAACCATAGTAAAACAAAGACTTATATTTTTGATATTTATTTTATATATTTACATGCCATTTAACAAAGAAAAATTAACCAAAAAAATGAATTCACTTGTCACCTCTGACACGCATGCCATAGGTTCGCCATCACTGCCCTAGGAGCTGTACAAGTAAAGACATTGCTATGACATATGTTTGATATTTTGCTGCCTGTGGATTCCTCTAAGATTTTTATGGTTTCCCGACTTATGTTAAGTTCTTGATATCTGGTATTGAGATCCCTCCCACTTTGTTTTTTCTTCTCAGGATTGCTGTGGCTATTCAGGGTCTTTTTTCATCCCAAATTAATTTTTGGAGTTTGTTCTAGGTCTATAAAATATGTCATTGGTATTTTAATGGGGATTACATTGAATCTATAGATTGCTTTGGGTATTATGGACATTTTAATGATGTTGATTCTACCAATCCATGAACACGGTATGGTCTTCCATTTGTTTATGTCTTCCTTTATTTCTTTTTTCAGTGTCCTGTAGTTTTCCAAATACAGGTCTTTTACCTCCTTAGTTAAGTTTATTCTTAACTATCTTAATTTTTTGTTGCAATGGTAAAGGTGATTCTCTTTCTGTGAATTCGTTATTGGTGCATAAAAAAACCATAGATTTCTGAGTGTTAATTTTGTGTCCTGCTGCATTGCCAAATTCATGTATTAGGTCTAGTAGTTTTTTGATAGAGTCTTTATGATTTTCAATGCACAATATCATGTCATCTGCAAATAATGACAGTTTTACTTCTTTCCAATTTGGATGCCTTTTATTTCTTCTTCTTGTCTGATCGCTATGGCTAGCACTTCCAGTTCTATGTCAATTAGGAGTGGTTAAAATGGACATCCATGTCTTGTTCCTGTTCTTAGGGTAAATGGTTTTAGTTTTTGCCCATTGAGTATGATGTTGTCTGTAGGTTTGACATATAAGGCTTTTATTATGTTGAGGTATGATTCCTCTGTTCCTACTTTGCTGAGAGTTTTTATAAAGAAAGTGTGTTGGATTTTGTCATGCTTGTTCTGCATCAGTTATGATTATGTGATTTTTGTCTTGCATCCCTGGAATAAATCACACTTGTTCGTGATGTATGATCTTTCTAATGTAATGCTAGATCTGATTTGCTAGGATTTTATTGAGGATTTTAGCAACTATGTTCATGAGGGATATTGGCCTGTAATTCTCTTTATATTGTCTTTATATGGTTTTGGGATTAGGGTAATGCTGGCTTCATAGAAAGAGCTTGGAAGTGTTCCATCATCATGAAGTTTTTGGAATAATTTGAGGAGAGTAGGTTTTAGTTCTTCTTTGAATGTTTGATAAAACTCCCCTGTGAAGCAGTCTGACCCAGGGCACTTGTTTGCTGGAATTTTTTTTTTATTACTGCTTCAATTTCCTCCATAGTTATTGGTCTATTCAAATATTTTGATTCTTCCTGATTGAGGTTTGGAAGGTCGCGTTTTTCTAGGAATAGTCCATTTCTTCTAGTTTGACCAGTTTGTTGGAATGTAATTTTCTTCCAATCCTTTGTTTTTCTGTGGAGTCTGTTGTCATTTATTTCCACTCTGATCTTTTTTCTTTTTAAAATTTTTATTGATTAGGTTTTACAAATGTGTCTTTATCCACCCATTGTCCCCTTATCACCCTAGTCTTGCCCTCACCCTCACCCTCACCCACTGTTGTCTGCGTCCATCGCTTATGCTTATCTGCATGCATACAAGTCCTTTGGTTGATCTCTCTCCCTTACCCCCAACCTCCCCTACCTTCCCTCTGAGGTTTGAGCATCTAATCGATGCTTCTCTGTCTCTAGATCTGTTTTTGTTCATCTGTTTATATTCATTATAGTCCACAAATGAGTGAGATCATGTGATATTTATCTTTCGCTGACTAACTTTATTTCACTTAGCATAATGCTCTCCAGCTCCATCCATGCTGTTGCAAATGGTAGGAGTTCCTTCCTTTTGAATACAGCATAATATTCCATTGCATAGATGTGCCAAAGTTTTTTAATCCACTCATCTGCTGATGGGCACTTAGGCTGATTTCAAATCTTGGCTGTTGTAAATTGTGCTGCTATAAGCATAGGGGTGCATATATCCTTTCTGATTGGTGTTTCTGGTTTCTTGGGATATATAGTCCTAGAAGTGAGATCACAGGGTCAAATGGGAGTTCCATTTTTAGTTTTTTGAGGAAACTACATACTGTTCTCCACAGTAGCTGCACCAGTCTGCATTCTCACCAGCAATGCATAAGTGTTCCTTTTTCTCTGCATCCTCGCCAGCATTTGTCATTTGTGGATTTGTTGATGGTAGCCATTCTGACAGGTGTGAGATGGTACCTCATTGTCATTTCGATTTGCATCTATCGGATGATTAGTGACGTTGAGCATGTTTTCATATGTCTCTTGGCCTTCCTTATGTCTTCTTTTGAAAAGTATCTATTTAGATCCATTGCTCATTTTTTGATTGGGTTGTTTGTCTTCCTTTTGTTATGTTGCATGAGTTCCCTGTAAATGTCGGAGATTAACCCCTTATCAACAATAGCAGCTTTCCAGAATTTGGGCTTAGTTTCCACCAGTTGTCAACATCACAGCTGCCAAAATTACAACAGAGATTTTAGAACAGCTCTTCTACCCTCTCATTCTTCTCCACGGGAGGGCTAGGATTCTCCCCAGGGATCAGTCCATCCGGCAGACTTCATTTACGCTTCTTCTCCTGTGTGCTGGTGAACCAAGAGTCTAGGAGCTTCTTGCTGTAGTGTAACTGCCAGGCATGCACTTGAACTTCCAGCACCAACACCAGGTACATGACGGAGATGGCAGAAAACCCAAAGAGGAAGCGGTAGGCCTTGCCATGGCGATAGAGCTGCTGTGCAGCAGGGAATATCTCCATGCTGCTGTAAATGAGGGGGGCGATGGAAAAGAGCCCCATGCTGATCATGGAGAGCACCAGGTAGCTAATGTTGTTGCGGGGGAAGGAGAGGAGACCCAAGAGGGAGGGCACAATGCTCAGCAAATATGGGTACTCCCACTGATAGGGCATGGCCACCTGATCATGTGACAAGACCCTCAGGTGTCCCACACTTATCTTGGCAACCAGCAGCAGCCATAGGACCAGATGCACGTAGATCAGCTTCTTGATTTCATACTTGAGGGTCACACTCATCTGGTAGTGCATGGCGACGCACTCCCGGTGCTGAAAGTTGCTGCCATCAGTGCCGGCAGCCCATGGGCCTGCCTGAGACGCCATTGGCCTGGCCCTGCCCCAAACCCCAGAGTCGTTCCCGCAGCTCCCCTGCCTCCTGCAGACCCTCCTCACGCAGTCTCAGCTCCGGAACCCCAGCCATCACACGGGTCTGTGCAAACAACTTCCAGCCCCTGTCTCATAGTATTTTTTGACAATCCTTTGTATATCAGTAAGGTCAGTTGTTACTTCACCTCTTTCATTTCTGATTTTGTTTATTTGGGTCCTCTCTCTTGGCTTCTTGGTGAGCCTGGCTACAGGTTCATCAATCTTATTTATCCTTTCAAAGAATGAGCTCTTGGTTTCACTGTTCTTTTTATTGTTTTTTTGGCTGCTATGTTGTTTATTTCTGTTCTGATCTTTATTATTTACTTCCTTCTGGATACTGTGGGCTTTTTTTTGTTGCTCCCTTTCTAATTCTTTAAGTTGCAAGGTTATATAATTTATTACCAGTTTTTCTTGTTTTTTTGAGGTAGGCCTGTAGAGCTATGAACTTCCCTCTCAGGACTGCTTTCATTGTGTCCCATAGATTTTGGATTATTGTGTTTTCATTGTCATTTGTTTCCAGGATGCTTTTTAGTTCTTCGTTGATCTCGTTGGTAACCCAATCATTGTTTATAGCATGCTATTTAGCCCCCAAGTGTTTGATTTTTTTCATTGTTTTATTGTAGTTGATTTCTAGTTTTATGCCATTGTGATCTGAGAAGATGCTTGTTATGATTTCTATCCTTTTAAATTTGAAGAGACTTTCCCTGTGTCCTAATATGTGGTCTATCTTTGAAAATGTCCCATGTGCACTTGAGAAGAATGTATATTCTGTAGCTTTGGGGTGAAATATTCTGAAGATGTCAATTAATTCCCTCTGATCTAGTGAGTCATTTAGGATTGCTGTTTCTTTGCTGATGTTTTATTTAGAGGATTTATCCAGTGGTGTCAGTGGGGTATTAAAGTCCCCCACTATGATTGTATTGCTATCGATCTCTCCCTTGACATCTTCCAGAAGTTGATTTATGTATTTGGGTGCTCCTATATTGGGTGCATATATGTTTACCAGAGTTATATCTTCTTGTTGAATTGCTCCCTTTAGTATTATGCAATGGCCTTCCTTATCTCTTGTTGTGGCCTTTACTTTAAGGTCTATTTTGTCAGATATAAGTATTTCAACCCCAGCTTTTTTCTCATTTCCATTTGTCTGACTTTTTTTTCCATCCCTTCACTCTCAGTCTGTGGGAATCCTTTGTTCTGAGGTGGGTTTCTTGTAGACAGCAAATATATGGTTCATGTTTTCTTATCCATTCATCTACCCTCTGTCTTTTGACTAGAGCATTTATTCCATTTACATTTAATGTTATTATTGATAAGTGCTTGTTTGTCATCATTTTTATTCTTAATGTTTGTGTTTCTTCTTTTTACAGCAGTCCTTTTAGCATTTCTTGCATTGCTGGCTTGATAGTAATAAACTCTCTTAGCCCTTTTTTATCTGTGAAGCTCCTGATTCCACCTTCGATTTTGAATGATAGCCTTGCTGGGTATAGCATTCTTGGATTCAGTCCCTTGCTTTGCATTACCTTGTATATTTCATTCCATTACCTTCTTGCCTGGTGTGTTTCTGTTGAAAACTCAGTTTATATTCTAATATGTGCTCCCTTGTAAGTAACTCTCTGGCAGCCTTTAAGATTCTTACTTTGTCGTTGATGTTTGCCAATTTAATTATGATGTGTCTTGGTGTCTGTCTTTTGGGGTTCATCTTGGTTGGGACTGTATGTACTTCTTGCACTTGCATAGTATTTTTCTTGCCAATATCAAGTTTTCTGTCATTTCTTTAAACAGGTTTTCTATTCCTTTCTTCTCTTCCTATCCTTCTGGTATCTCTCTTATGTGAATATTGTTTTGTTTTGTGTTGTCCCAAAGCTCCCTTAGGCTCTCTTCTTGCTTTTTAAATCTTCTTTCCAGTTGCTGCTGTGTTTGTGTGTTTTTTCCTACCTTGTCTTCTAATTCACTGATGCAGTCCTCAGACTCTTGTAGTCTACTATTTAAGCCTCCCATTTTGTTCTTTATTGCAACTATGTCATTCTTCATCTCCTCTTGGTTCCTTTTCATGTTGATGACATTCTTATTCAGCTCCTTATAATTCTCAATGAGTTGTGTGTTTGTCATTGAGTTGTATTTGTCATCCAGCCTTTTGAGCATCCTTATAAACATTACTCTGAATTCTTTCTCTGATATGTCGCTAGCCTCAGTTTCATTTAACTCCCTTTCTGGTGATTTTTCTTTTTCTTTCCTTTGGGGATTGCTTTTTTGTCTTCCCATGTTTTGCTGTAATGTTTTAATTGTAGATCCAATTGCTTTGCTACCCAGGTTCTTTTGGGGATGGTGCTACTGGTGTGATCTCTCAGGTCTCCTGAGCTTGGTAATCTAGTGTAGCTCCCTACTTGAGCTATTTGTGTTCTCTTGATGTAGGCTTGTGAGCTGGAAATGTGCAACTGCAGTGTCTAAAAGTCAGGAGCAGCTGTGGAGGGGGTGTCCCAATTTTTGCTGTCTTACAACCTTGGTTGAAGTCGCAGGTGCCCAGGCAGACTCACAGTGGCACTGGAAGAGTGTGCAACTGTAGTGTCCAGTGTTCTGCAGCTGTGAGGTGGGCAGACTCAGTTTTTGCTGCTGTACCTATGGTGGATAGGTGCGCGCTCCCAGTGGCGGCTTACAGGGGCACCAGTGGTGTGTTTGCCAGTGTGGCATACTGAAGCACTCTGAAGGACCCTGGCACTGAAGCCACATAATTGAGGAGTCTTTGGGCAGGTATCCAGGGTGAGTGAACTCAGAATTTCTACTGCTGGGGGGAGTCCATCCCTGTTTGTCCAAGATCACACCTAGTGAGAGCTTGCAGCGGCTCCCATGAGTGCCCTGTGGATAGAAGGGCTCTGGGTGCCTGCTTGTTGGAAATGCATGACTGTGGCAGTGAGTTTGCTGTCGTACTCAGAGGGGCCCTGGGTCTAAAGATGCGTAGCTGGTTTGTCTGTGGGAAGTTATTCAGGAAAAGGGAATTCAGAATTTCTACTGCGGGGCAGCACACCCTTGTCTGTCAAAATCACACCCAGCAGGGGTTCACAGTGGCATCCAAGAGCTGCCTGTGGAGTGGTGTGCCCTGGAAGTCTGCGTGCTGGAAATGCAGGAATGTTGGAAATGCATGAATGTTGGAAACACAAATGTGGAGTCCAGAGTTCTGCCACTGGTGAGGGGGGAAGTTGCACTTACTTCTGTGGGAGCGGTGCGCCTTTGGAGATGGAAGTCCCAGGGTTCGTGGGTCTGTGTGTGGGGCAGCAGGATTTTGGCTGGAGTGGCTGCTGGTTTGCAGGCAGTGTCCAAGGTCTGTCTGGGTGGTGGTGCTGATGAGTTCTAGAAGAGGCCGCTTTCCCCTTCAAGATGTTGTGGGCTCCGTGCCCAAGTCCCACAGTCTGGGGAGTGCCCACAGTGGTGGTAGTCTCTCCCTGTCCAAGAGAGCCTGGCCTGCCAGCCTCTGCTGCTCCTGCCGGATTTAACTGTCCCTCCCTCACTCACACACACACCACACACTGTCTTTTCATCCCCTCACTCACTCACTTCCTATCCCTCACCTCCGTCCTGCCAGCCGCCATCTTTTTCTCTCCACTCTGATCTTTATTATTTCCTTCCTTCTGCTCACTCTGTGCTTTTCTTGTTGCTCTCTTTTTAATTATTTAAGTTGTAGAGTTAGATAATTTATTACCACTTTTTCTTCTTTTTTGAGCTAAGCCTGTAATGCTATGGACTTCCTTCTCCAGATTGCTTTCACTGTGTCCCATAGAATTTAGTTTGTTGTGTTTTCATTTTCATTTATTTCCAAGATGTTTATTTCTCCTTTAATTTCTTTGATATCCCAATCATTGTTTACTAACATGCTATTTAACCTCCAATTGTTTGAATTTTTAATTGTTTTTGTTGTAGTTGATTTCTAATATTATGCCATTGTCATCTGAGAAGATTCTTGATATGATTTCAGTCTTTTTGAATCTGAAGAGTCTTTGCCTGTGACCTAATATGTGGTTCTTTGAAAATGTCCCCTGTGCACTTGAGAAGAATGCATATTCCATAGCTTTGGGGTGAAATGTTCTGAAGATGTCAATTAATTCCATCTGATCTAGTGATTCATTTAGGATTGCTGTTTCTTTGTTGATTTTTTTGTCTAGAGGATTTATCCAATGATATCAATGGAGTATTAAAGTCCCCTACTATGATTGTATTGCTGTCGATCTTTCCCTTGATATCTTCCAGAAGTTTTTGTTGTTGTTTTTTGGTGTTTTTTGAAAAATATTTGGGTGCTCCTGCATTGGATACATACTAGTATATATTTTACAGAGTTATATCCTCTTGTTGAATCATTCCCTTTAGTATTATGAAGTGGCCCTCCTTATTGCTTGTTATGGCCTTCACGTTGAGGTCTATTTCATCAGATATAAGTATTGCTACTCCAGTTTTTTTTTTTTCATTTCCATTTTACTAAAAAGTATTTTTCCATTCCTTCACTTTTTGTCTGTGTGAGTTCCTTGTTCTGAGGTGAGTCTCTTGTAGACAGCATATATATGGCTCATGTTTCTTATCTATTCAGCCACTCAATATCTTTTGATTAGAGCATTTAATTCATTTACATTTAAGGTTATTATTGATAGGTACTTGTTCATAGCCATTTTTATTCTTTATGCCTGAGTTCCTTCTCCGCTTTCTATTTCTTCTTTTTACAACAGTCCCTTTAGCATTTCTGGTTTGGTATTGATAAACTCCCTTAAACATTTTTTGTCTGTGAAGCTCATGATTTCTCCTTCAATTTTGAATTATAGCCTTGCTGGATAGAGTATTTTGGGATTCAGTCCCTTGCTTTGCATCACTTTGTATACTTCATTACCTTCTGGCCTGATGTGTTTCTGTTGAGAAATCATTTGATAATTTAATAGGAGATCCCTTGTAGGTAATTCTCTATCTCTCTCTTGCAGCCT